ATAGTAGATCGGAAATTCTCGGTGATCTACCATGGTGGAAATAGCAAATTACCATGGTGGAAATAGGCATTCCCTTAAAAAATTGTCAATGACCGAGTCCTGAAGTTTATGAAAATTCGATTGTATCGGTCGAGACTGGGTCGTTAATCAGTTCTAATCGCTGGCATAAAGTTGGCATCTGCATGGAGATGGGCAAATCGCGGATTCCCAGAAATCCCGCGTGATTCGCGGAATAGATAATCAATCAACTGGTTTTCAAACTCCGGAGTATTGCGGAATGGCGATCAATTTTTACCGGAACATTTCGGGTCCACCAGCAGCATTCATATCTGATATTACTGTAGTAACACGAGACTTAATTTCAAACTGCCATCTGACATTCTTGTAAAATTTAAGAATTAATTGCGTCATAATAACTTTTCATCGTAAATAGTTGACTTAGGCTGTTCTCAAGCATCTAAATCAATTGATCAGATAATAATCGTGATGACGCTCAAGCATCACAATTGATGACGATATTTATAGAATGAGCAAAAAATTCTTTTCGATCAACTGTTAAAGTTTCAACTTTAGTTACGTCGGCTCCTTTTAATGATTTAACAATTTACTATCCGTCAAATATAGAAAAACATCTACCCAAACATTTTAGTTTTAGGTCTTCTTTACTGAGAAGATTTTAAATTTAAATGAGTAAAAAATGGAATAACAATATTCATTATAATTTATTAAAAGTTAAAGGATGGATCGTATCTATTAGGCCGTTTGAAGTTAATTCTTCGGTTAACATCATCTTTAGAACTCTTGGGAGGGGGAGGTAAAATGAAACGAACATAAAAAAATGGACCAATTTCATTGGTCGACGTAAATCAAGTAATTGGCGAGAGTTATCCAGCTTTTTGATTGGTTGTTCATTTTTCGGGGGAGACTTCAGCGGAGGGGGATGTTAACCGAAGAATCAACTTCGAACGGCCTTACATTCGTATCAAGTATCGATTATTTGTTTTAAAAGCTTCGAACATTAAAATAAAGTAACTATCTTTTTAGAGCGGTTAGAAATTTGCTGAGAATTGTTTATTATGTTTGATATGTAAAAAATATAAAAGTAATGCTTGAGCGACCTTTATCAATGGTAAATTTTTGAAGAAAAAGGTGGTTGTGTCTCGCTGATTTGTTAATCGAAATGGTAGTTCATTTGTTTAATTTATTCAATTTCCAATTATATAATTAAAAATTTACTTGAGTGAACACCCTTAATCGGGAATCATGCTACATAATGGCGTGATTTTATCATGTGATATTTTTGATGCAAAATTGATGTGGTCTGGTTTTTTACGTTTAATATTAATTGATAAACTTTACCAATGTTCTTTTAAAGGGACAGAGTTTATCTCTGGTAAATTTATTTGTAAATGTTTTATATATTTCTCTTCAAAAAAAAAGATGCAACGTGTTATCTCTTTTGGTGGCTTTAGATGTGCATTTACGAAATTTGCGCAACGAAGGGTAAAAACAAAAATTTTAACAAGATAATTTGTAAAGTTTTCATAAAGTATAGAAAACCGAATATTTGAATAAATAAAATAAAATAAATGAAATGAAAAATTTATATTCAAAGATTTTCATGTCTGCTATTGTTTCTATTAACTCATTAGGCGTTCGTATCTGTCGGTCGAACTAAAGTTCCTTTAGACAAAGAATGGACTGAGCTTGCTTTAAAAGAATTAAAAGGCAAAGATCCGGAAAAAACGTTAACATGGCATACCGCAGAAGTAAATATTGATTTTACTAAATTACCAAAATTCTCCGATTTCACTAATCAATTAATATTTTATTTTGCAAAAATTATAGGGAATAGATGTAAAGCCTGTTTATACAAAAGTAGATGCTGAAATCATTAAAGATGAGATCCCGGGAAAATTTCCTTTTACAAGGGGTCCATATGCTACTATGTATACAGCAAGGCCTTGGACTATTCGACAGGTGATGATCGTTCTAACATGGTTATAATTAAATTAGCATCTACTTACTTTACTATATTCTTTGCAAAAGTATGCTGGATTCAGTACTGTGGAAGAATCAAATGCTTTTTATCGGAGGAATTTGGCTGCTGGCCAACAAGGTCTTTCTGTTGCATTTGACTTGGCTACGCATCGAGGGTAATTTCAATGATAATTGTACCTTTCATAATTGATTGTGCATTAGCACTTATTTCAATTTATTTATTATGTTAGTTATGATTCAGATCATCAACGTGTAGTGGGTGATGTTGGCATGGCTGGTGTTGCAATTGATTCTGTAGAGGACATGAAGGTTTGTCTTGAAATTTATACGTCATTCAATTTTTACCAATGTTCTTTCATAAGATTATTTGAATATTAGGTTCTTTTTGATGGAATTCCGCTTAAAACAATGTCTGTTTCTATGACAATGAATGGTGCTGTGTTACCAATTTTAGCTATGTATATAGTAGCAGGCTTAGAACAGGGTGCTCAATTAAAAGAATTGTCTGGCACTATACAGAATGATATTCTCAAAGAATTTATGGTTCGAAATACGTTCATATACCCGCCAGAACCATCAATGAGGTTAATTGGTGATATTTTTTCTTACACTGCAAAGGTAAGTTTTAATTAATAGCTTTTTCCTCCGAATGTTTTTATTTTATTTATTCTTGGTTTTTGCAGAATATGCCGAAATACAATTCAATTTCTATATCTGGCTATCATATGCAAGAGGCTGGTGCTGATAATGTTCTTGAACTGGCTTTCACTATTGCTGATGGTTTAGAGTATGCTAGAACAGGTATAGATTTTTTTATTTTATTTAAAAAAAAGTGATTTAATGTTTTGCATCTGTTTCATATAAAATTAAAAATTTTCATAGGTATCAAAGCAGGAATGTCAATTGATCAATTTGCTCCAAGATTATCTTTCTTTTGGGGTATTGGGATGAATTTTTATATGGTAATCATAATATATTAAGATTTTTACTTTTCTTCAATTAACGTTACAAATTTCATAATAATAGGAAATTGCAAAAATGAGAGCTGCTCGCCGTTTATGGGCTCATATGATTCAGGAAAAGTTCAACCCAAAAAATAAAAAATCATTAATGTTACGTACACATTGCCAAACCTCCGGTTGGTCACTTACCGAACAGGTGAGTCCCTATTTTGTTGAAATCTTGTTATTTAGGTGATATTATCACTAATTAATTATTATAGGACCCATATAATAATATTGTGAGAACAACTATAGAAGCAATGGCTGCTACGCTAGGAGGGACACAATCCCTTCATACAAATTCATTTGATGAAGCAGTGGGTCTTCCAACAGAATTTTCTGCCCGCATTGCACGAAATACTCAACTTATTATCCAGGAAGAAGCTTTTATCCCAAAAGTTGCTGATCCTTGGGGTGGTAGTTATATGATGGAAAATTTGACTGATGAAATTTATCACGCTGCAAGTAAAGTTGTGGAAGAAGTAGAGGAAATGGGTGGTATGGCAAAAGCTGTAGCAAGTGGAATGCCAAAACTAAAAATTGAAGAGAGTGCAGCTCGAAGACAGGCTAGAATCGATTCTGGTCAAGGTTGACATATTTTCAATACATATTTCTATTTGTTTAAATAAATAAACAAATAATTAATTATATATTGAAATTTAGAGACAATTGTTGGAGTAAATAAATATCGACTTGAAAAAGAGACAGAAATCGAAGTCCGCACTATTGACAACACTAAAGTAAGAGAAGAACAAATCGAACGTATAAAAAATGTCAAGGCGGCGAGAGACGAAACACTAGTTAGTATATAAAAATATTTGGTTCGATAATTACCGTATAATGCTTACTTTTTTTTGTTTTTAGGCACAAAATACATTAAACGCTCTAGAAGAGTGCGCAAGAACACAAAATGGAAATTTATTGGAATTGGCTATTGAAGTATGTAAAGTATTTACGTTGATTTAAATTGATTTAGATCGATTTGCAGTAAATCGTTTAAATTGATCTAAATCGATAGCTTGTCCTATAATAATCCGAATTAAATATAGTAATTAGGACTTTTTTGACATTAAAGGCATCAAAGGCGCGATGTACCGTGGGTGAGATATCATATGCACTTGAAAAAGTCTGGGGGCGTCACGAACCAACGAGTCGTGTTGCCAGTGGTGCCTATAAATCTGCGTATGGAACTGCGGACGAAACAGAAGAGACAATGAAACTAGTAGAGGTTATTATTATATTTAGATGTTGCAATTCAATTAACTTGTTAGAAATTATCAATAAATATATTAATATTAAATTTCTACTATAAAGCAAACAAAAGAAAAGTTGGGTGTTAACCCAAGAATTTTAGTGGCAAAATGTGGCCAAGATGGACATGATCGAGGTGCCAAAGTGATTGCTTCAGCCTTCAGTGATTTTGGATTTGATGTCGATCTATCTCCATTATTCAGTACACCCGAAGAAGTAGTACGTCAAGCTATTGACAATGATGTCCATGTTATTGGTGTTTCTTCACAAGCAGCTGGACATAAAACACTGATACCGGAACTTATAAATGAGCTTAAAAGACTCGGTATAAATGACAAAATTGTAGTAGTTGGGGGTGTTATTCCACATCAAGATTATAAATTCTTATACGATGCAGGAGTAAGTTCAATATTTGGACCTGGCACTAAAATTCCCCAAGCTGCTAAAGAAGTTGTCTTAAAAATTCAACAAAACATAAAAGATGAACCTATAACATCTGATAAATCTGTTAATTTACATTAGCTTATTTAAAAATAATTTTATAAAATTTAATTAATAAGTTTGCTTTATTTGTATATAATAAAAAACATTGAAATCAATTTTATATTACAACTATTAATACTCGAAATGGTTTCTTCCGACTGTTCACTTAACCGTCCATTTCAGTTTTTATAGCAAAATAAAAGTTAGTATTATACATAAAGCTTTTTGGTTTAGAAATATATGTTAACGAAGGGAAGAATTAGACACTATTGAATTTAAGAAATGTGGTAAGATTGCGGAGTTTTATTCACGTCACTCATCAGCATCGGTGATGCAACGTATTATTGTAATATATAACCAGGAAAACATCAGATAATTGTTTTTTAAATTTTTTAAATTAGACGTTGGCATATAAACAAAATGGAAGGTGACGACAATAGTTTTCGCGTAGAGTTGTTGGAATGTGCAAAACTTTTGAACTTGCCAAACGATGGTACTTAAAATAATCATCATTTGTCCTGCCTGAATTTTAACATGCAATTATTTAATTTTAAAATTTAAATTTATGGTATTATCTATTATTCGCTTTTAATAAACGGCGAAATCAAAAAGATTATACGCGAGAACTAATTGCACAAATCCAGCTAGATTACCTTTATGTACCACAAGATGAAAAGGAATCTATCTTACTTTTAGTTTCTGAAAGTGAACAATCTATAAAACATCAATTATTGGGAAAATGGTGCTTAAATGATTTGGATGCAACCATTTTCTTTACAGAGGTGTTAGACGACCTCAGGATTCAGGATCTAAATCTATGTTGTGACATCTATGAAGGTATCAATTAATTTCTTTAATATAAGCAAAAAATATTTTGAATTATTTATGTTTTATTTTTCTTTTATTAAAAGATGTAGCTACTCGCGAGTCTCATTTTATGGAAGAGCCGATACTTCCTAGTAGCATACAAAAGAATAATGAATCAAATCTGTATCCAATACCGACTTTAAACCAATTGTCCAACAAACTACCGATTACGGATGTCTCTTCTGAACCTTTCACAGAAAACGAGATGCAGCGATTTACATTGGATGATTTATGGTATTCTTAATCAACTATTAGGCATACAATCTAATCAGTTTCAGAATCTTTAAAATATTTTTCTTTGATTTACAAGTTTATCACATCATGAAGTGGTAGATGATATTACAAATATTATGTCATTCTTAAAGGAAAATGACGTTCGCAACTATAATGATTTTATTATTTCGGTCAAAGAATTAAAATTTGAGAATCATTACATTGAAGAACCTTTAATTTCGATAAAAGCTAATAAAAGCGTACAAGATCTGCCAACTAAAATTATTGAAGTTGTTCCCCTGATTATAAATGATATTGATGTGAACATTAAGAATGATCAATTAGTTCCTGAGGAAACTGGTGTAAAAGCACCTTTAGAGATGTTAAATAAATGGGGTAGCGTACATGATTTTATTATCCATTTTTTTTAAACTATTCCATCACTTATTCATTTTATTTCATAAGAAAGAATTGATGAATCAACCCTTGATATTGAGAAAATTCCAGATTATGGTTGTGTAGAATTTGATGTTCCAATTGATCTATTTTTGCCTTCCCGCGAGACCCTTCAATTAGGTATATATATATATATACGTGTGTTTGCTCATACAATTTACCTACACATTCATAACGTATGAAGGCTTAAATTTATTTTGTATCTCACCGTTAATAAACGAAGAGCCCGCAATGATACCTGTAAAATATGATCCTTTGGAGATAGATCGTAGAAAACGGCGGTAAGAAAATATTCAACTTACAGTATTACTGTTTGATAGTTTAGTCCAGTGTTTAAGATCAATTTTGTTTATGATACATTTATAATTAATATTAGTAAAACCGATTTCGGATCAGAGACTGAAGATGCGAATGACAAAGACGTGACAATGTATTTTTTTTCTTATTTCAATATATGTTGTATTTTTTTCTAAGGTATGCTTAACGTATAAATATCTTGACTTTTAGAACGGAATCTTTAGCACAAACAATCAAATCTGTGGTATCTGAAGATGATGATACCTTAATGCATCAGAAATTAGATGATCAGACAGCGCTTCAGTCAGATCTTGAGAAGATGCTAAAAGTTGAAAACCCTGATGAAAATTGGAAATCTGTCATTATGCGGCAATCAATGGACGAACTAGAAGGATTAAAATTCAAGGGTGATTTTAATTAATGGTTTTATCATGAAAGTCTATCAAAATATTGATCTCTTTTTAATCTTTTTTTTTTTAAAAAAAAAAAAGTTCCGCAATTACCACATCCTGTTTCACAAATCACTAGAGGAAGTGCAAATGATGATGATGGCGCTTCATTCCCTTTAATACCAACTAAAATTTCTGACTTAATTGCGCGTCCAAATTCATTGCATTCTGATTTTCAAATATTGACATCATTTAGTGGAATGAAAGCTTTAGAGTTTGAGTTGCATTGGAATCCAATTAAAAAAAATACCTCTCAAATAGAATTTGAACAAATCGTCAACATGAAGCTTTCATCTCAGGAAATGTCAGACACTCTTAATGATCTATGTAGCTGTGCTATCAGTGATGATATTTTGGATACGGTAGATGTGCAATTTTTTGATATTCATGATTCACATTTGATAACAAGGAAAAAAGGAAAGCATGAAAGTGGTCACAAGTCAAAAAGATTAGAACTCGAAGAAGAAGCTTCTTCTTTGATAGCACCAAGGTGTATCAATAACAACAATTTTATGACAGATTCTTGCAAAGAGACGCTTGCAAAAAACATTCCACATCAATCCCACCTTAAATCTAATCATAAAAAAAAAGAGGTTCCTGTCGGCAATTCCGCTGATATCCGCGATTTACTGCAGACTGACATTATACCGTCAAAAATGAAAATTTCCCCCGACATACCCGGTTTATCTAGCGCAGATAGAGTCATAAAATGGCTTTCCAGCTATGATGAATCGATTTCGGTAAATAAGGATAACGATGTCCACACAAATAATGTAGATTTATCTGAATTTTCTCCTAATGATGGTGAAGTCCCAGTTGAGAATTCTTCATCGTATTCTAATGAACAGCACAACTTTAGTACCTTTCGAAATACATCCTCCATATGTAATGATGTTTCGTCAAAAACATTGTTTGATTTTAAGAATGTACAAGATTCTTTTACCAAACCAAATGATTTCAAATCTGGTACTTTTTCGGCAAAAAAGTCAATAGATGATTTTTTGATTCTGCGAGGAAAAATTACACAGAATGAACGTCGAGATATTGAATTAAAAAAAAGATTCCATTTCGTAATCAAAAATGGAGAAGGTAAAGGTAAAACAAATTTTGCTCCGTTCATCTCAAAGAAATGATTTATAAATATTATGAAATTTCGCACAAAAGAATCAAAACAAGTAGTTCCCAGTATCAAACCATCAAACGATAACGACAGACATACTCGTTATCCATACCTAGTCCCTTCGGGGTCACAGCTTACTGACAGTGACAAAAATGTGCAAATTCCGATAATTTACTCTCATGTATTCGAAATCACGTTCAAAAACCTCAACCTTGCAGTAAATACTTTTTAAAGCTGATAACAAGCCACGATTTGCCAAAAGTCGAGCTGCACTCTCTTCAATTTTTAGTTTTGGCATTCCAC